TACGTCCACGTCGTCGCTACGACGGGTCGCTTAGATGCAGAAGAAGCGATAGGATCTATTCACGTTTCTGTTCGAAAGGAGTATTGTATGACGTTTCGATCAAGCGCCTCCCTGAGTGGCGGTAGTGTACGCTGGGTTGTGTCGGCCGCAACTATGAATGTTCAAGCGAAGGGACAGGGTGTTGCATGTTCAGTGTGTTGCGTCTACGCTTCGTGTGATGTCCCTGAGGTGGACACCAGGTTGGCTAGCGAGGGAAATTCATCCTCTTTAAAGACTTCATCTCTACTATAGAAAATGGCATGCGTGTTGAGGTCCACCAGGCGGTAACCTTTCTTATGGCCATGTATGCGTAAGTACACGTATAATCGAGCTCTGGCATCGAGTTTGTCTCGGTATTGCTATATAATGTGTACAAACGCGCTGCACCCGAACACTTTGATGTATTCATCAATGAAATTCGGTTGTGTTAATGTTCATACGGCGTGCGTGCAGCCGTCTTCGAGCTAGGCGTCATGTTGATAAGTGTTACCACGCGACAAACACACTGTGCCCATATTTGCTTTGAAAGTTTGCGTCCAATAGCAGTGCTCGAATCCGTTCCATGATTGTCCGCTTGCGACGTTCAGCCACTCCGTTCTGTTGCGGAGTGTACGCATGTGTGAAATGTGCGTGAGTTCCACACTTCTGGAAGAGTATCCGACCTAGGTTTTAGTGTTCTTTTTCACTGTCTGCTTGAAGTCGCTGGATATCATGACTTTCAATGATGCGAGTGCTCAGCACAGTGACATCCCTTCGGAAAAATGCACAGGGCTTTTCTCTTGAAGTCCTCGTTTCCTTTATACAGGTCTCTATGATTCCGAATTCGGTAAGAGGACATGTATCGAGAAAAGTCATCGATAAAGATCAGAACGTAGCAACAGCCAGTGAGGGTAGGCACGAGCGGTGGACCACAGATATCGGACCGAACCTTTTCCAAAGGAGATTTTGCATGTTCATTTGTTCTATTTGCTAGAAGGGTGAGCGGTGTGATTTTGCTAACGTGCACGCTGTGCAGAAGAACTGAGCTTTCCGGTCTACAGACGCAGAGACATCGAGTTTGCGAATGGCTTGGCTCCTAGACAGGTAATGCAAGGTGCGAACGTTAGGATGCACAAGTCTTTTGTGTAAAAGCAGAAATAATCGTTGCTTACCTGAGGCCACGAGTGCCGTTGCGGTTGTCACTGGTTGAGCGTGAAACTGATACAGAAGTGGTGTCGGCTTTTTTGGCTATGGGTCACAGCCTGAGTCACCATACAAAACTCAAGGCTTTTGTGACCCGTCAGCGATACATGTTTTAGGAGGTTAGGGGAAGACAAATAACCTGCATAACCGTGTTCATTTGTGTCAAAAACTGTTAATGTGAAAACGTGTGATTGAATGTGCCATGTCAAATCGTGTTAAGTTCGCATTACTTGCGGCTTCAGCTAGAGCGACGGGTCGGCTTCTTTCGTGCTGGCTCGGCACCTCGTTTCTTTGGAGCCCGCATGGCTGGCTGCACGCTCTCCGGTAGCTGAGTTGCTTGGTCCGCGCTCTCCGTTGGCTTTTCCATGCTCTCAGAAGGCTGCGTGGCCTGCTCCTCGCTCTCCGACGGCGACAGGGGGCTAAGTCGTCGTCGTCAATTTCCACGCCAACCTTGGCGGCTATTGCTTGCACGAGACCCTCTAGTCCCGCAAGCGTCTTCTCGATCTTCACGAGACGGCCCTCTTCCTCTTGATCTTGGCGGGGCTCTTTGGGCTGTACGCAGCGCCCGTAAACATCATACATCTTCTTATTCCAGGACGTACCGCTTTCCTGGAGATGCGAGACGATAACGTGGGTCCGGAAGCCACCATATGAGAGCAACTTGCCGCACTCTACACGCGCGTCTCCGCGTTGTACCAAATACACGCAGCGGAAGGTTTGCGTGGAGCGAGCAGGCTGTGCGTGATTCTTCGGCACCTTTCCAAATGAGGATGGAGTGTTTACTAAATTTCTATGGCGCTATCATTCGACATAAAAATATAGCCAGTGCAGCTTTTTTGTTATTATATGTTATTGACTGTTATACAGTGGTGTTATACAACGTTAATCACTGTCACCTGTGAATTACTGTCACATGTTATTCCCTGTGAAATGTTGCGCTTGCTCCTTTCTTGCTAATCCGTTTTCTTATGGCGTCGAGTGTCAGTCGCAGCTGCTGGCGCTTCTTCTGCAGTATTTGAGCAACTGCATCAGGTGGCAAATGGTCTTTGGCAGATAGAAATTCAATTGCATCATAGAAAACCTTGCGCCACTTGTAGTACAGCCGTTCCGCATCGCTCGATCGCAATTTTGCCCCACAGCGCGACTCCAGACCTGCACAGCTGGGCCACCGACGATACCCTTCGTGTACTCCGCCCAGACCTCAACCACGGACCGGGCAAGACGGTACGCAGTCGGCTCCGACTGAGGCTCGCTCAGCTGTTGCTCTTGGTCTGGCGCTAACACCAACTGCAATCGGCCACTGACAAGCCAGCAAACTAGAGTATGCGTAGCACGAAGAGAGTCCTCAATAGCCGTCAGTCGAAACCCAGTGCTTGACAAATTACTTTCCAAAACGTTAGTAAGAATTGGTAAAGCAGCACGCACAGTAGTGATCAAACCAGTATCCGGTTCACTCTGAAGTCACTGCAGCTGTAGTTTTGCAAACGCTTGGTAGTCATTGGTACAAAAGAGAGTTTGCTGAAACATGGGGTGCTTTGGATACGCCTTTTAAAGAAGCACAGAGCCTTGGAGCACCACATCGCGCAAACTAACCAACAAATTAAGAAATCCTTGGCCTGCGATGTGATGAATTTCTCCACTATCAAACAAAGGCTGCACACTATCAATCCAGGGGAAACCCGTTGCGCGTAAAGTCTCTGGAATCGAACATTCCGCAGGTGGGAGAAAATACTCTCACCCCCTGCATTAAAATCCGCTAGCGTTCTGACAACATCACGAGGCAGAGTAGTCAGATAGCACCCCTCCATCTATTCGTTATTCCACCGTCCTCCTCTCCGAATGCTGGCTTCGGAGGCTCCTTGAGCTTCTGCTATCACACACGATCTTGTTCTTCGGATGTGCGTCACCTATTAAATTAATCATAAACAGTGTTAATCCACGTGATGTTAAACAGTGTGATCACAGATGTGAATTCGTGTGATTCCGTGTCACCTGTGAAATCACGTAACATGCTAACGAATGTGATATGTGAAAACGTGTCATCCAAAACCTTTTCACTGTTGACGCCACAACCTTCAATGCCTTCTTCAAGCCGCTAGCCTGAGCACTATATGAGATCTCGTGGTCCTTCACTTTGCCATCAATAAGCTGGATGTTATACCACGACGAGCGCTCGCGTAGATCTGGGAACGCCTCGCCGAGAACATGGAACCGCCAAAAGAAATACATGGCTAATGCCCCCATCGGACGGACCATAACATCTCGATGCCTTATGCAGCCACCATACTCGATCCTGCCGAACTGGTTCATCTTGCCTTGATCAATAACAGCAAGGGCAGCCACACATTTTGTGGGCCCCTCATTCGGTAGCTCCATAGAAAACAAATCCGGCAACTGGAGCTTCCTCGTTGTCTCTCCTCGTGCCATGAGCGCATGTCCGAAGAGTAGGTCGACACGATCCCGAAGCCCACGTCCAGAGTTCTTTCCATGAAGTACCCCGCAACATTCTTCAACTGAGCACGCGAATGGGTGTCATGAACGGTTCCCTTGCCATGATCATCAAACTTGTCACGCTTGCGCTCGGCTCATTCTCGCTTGTGTACTCTGAGAGGGCTTTGCCGCGTGGATGGGGAATGGGACCAACCCCCAGCGACTGCTGCGTGCTGTACAGGTCAACCAGCGCCTTCACATAGCCTTCAAGGCCCACGTGGATGCACCACCTCTTCTAGGAAAAGCAGAATCTTGCCCTCCGTGACGACGCTCCCGTCTACGAACTGTCGACTCGTGCACCAGCCCACCCACTCTTGTTGTTTTGGCTCGTAGCTGCGCCTGGTGTTCTGTGCGCGCTGCTGAAGGCTGTCCGCTACAACCTGCTGCACGGCGCCTTGCACGGCCGCGTTGTTGGCGATCGCTCGCGCTGCGCTCTCCGCCATTTGGCAAATCGTGGAATGAGTGGATGTGAGGTTTGTGGCGCCCTCTCCCAGGATACCCCCTTTCCCAGACTTTAACCAGTGTTAATTACATGCTTTCACATGCTTTCTTAACATGTGAAAACGTGTTATTCGCGACAACATGGAATAACATGCTTTGCTGTCGTAGTTGATATTTCAATAATAACATTAACCTCGGTAGATACATTGTGTGTCGAACATAATTTTATACAAAAACAGCCAGTGTCTGGCGTAATTTGGTGACCCGCTGTGATCCGTGTCACGACTTGGTCGCTGACACAGGTCAGTATCGGTAGCCATCGGCGCCTTGAGTTTAAATCGCTGTGCAGTTTGAATTGTACAGCGCTTGCAATCGAAGGTGAAGCGATAGTCTTGCTTCACGGCCGCTAGTTATCATCACTTCGTGGCGGAAAGACAGAAAATCTTAATACGAGATTGCAAAATATAAAAACAGCCAATAAACAAGCAAAAACATTATTAGAGTTACATAAATGGCACCCGTCCATTGTATAACGCGGTTAACCCTCAGTAGGTTACACACGGGTGAATAAAGCTCCATCTTCAGCAGCTCCAGGACATCTCTATCTTGACACGTTCCTCGGTCTGGTTGTGAGCGCGGGCGTTGTCCAAAATAATAATGGCATCTTACCTACAAAGTGGTCTTGGTAACCGGGATGAGCTTTTACAGCCTTCTAGAGTGCACATACAAAAACAGCATTAAAATCCATTTTAATGCTGCCCCAGAGCGTAGAGTAGTAAACTAGGTTGGCGCCATGGGAACCGACACAATTTACATGTATGTTTTCTTCCTTAAACGAAGAATCTTAATCACAGGTCGTTCTCCAACACGAGCACGTTCTTTAGACCGCTTACAATGTAAATTGTGATGAGTCTCATCACTGTATACCCTCTACGCTCGTGTTCCTGCAGCGCTTCACCGACAGTTCCTCGTTTCTCAATCTTCATAGCATTATTGCAGGTTTGTGGTTCAACACCAATCTGTCAAGGCTTTAATAATAGACATGGAAAAGAGTAAAATTATTGTTTTGAATCCTGTTTCGCTGTCTACAGCTTGTCACACAACTTTTTGCTAATAAGAGATGTACTGACGCTAACGCCAAAGTCAAACCGAAGCATGTCGCGGATGTGCGCGAGCCAGGGATCCCGAATACAATATATATCAACAAAAGGTGAACAAAGCAAATAGATAGCGCCTGACCTACTTGTCGGAGAAAAAAAATAATAATTGAACAACTCGGCACACAATAAACATTGCCGCTTCAAACTTGGCTTGTACTCGAGTTTATCTACAGCAGACAAGCATCAACAGTTGCTACGTTCCAGTACGAGCTGTTGGCACTCAAAAAGAGGATCATCTCGAGCGCCTGCGGAGAAAGACGGTGGCGCTCGTGACACAGCACCGATCTGGCCGAGCTAAACAGGCGCTCAACCACGTTTGACGTAGGTGGGATTGCGCTGAGCAGGAAAAAGTGCTGGGGGCTGCGTCAACCTTCCTGCGCTACAGGATCCGCTCAGCGAAGCTGGTGCTTTGCTCGTCGTCGAGAGGAGCAGCAGCGGCTGCTACGCGTCGAAACGGCTGCAGCTGCGCCTTCTCCGCAGTTGTCAGTCGCGTCGCCTTTCCGCCCAGCATCTTAACCACTGCGGACTCGAACTTGGGCGAGTGAGCGATGGGAGCGTTGGGTGCTAACATTTATAGCAGTAAAATCAAATAGTTAGTAGTTTTGGTCCCATAGCAATCCGAAAAAGACACTGACCGAGATAGTTTCCAAATGAAGGGTGCACTTCTAACAATCGGTCAAGAAGGTCTCGGGCATCGAGTAGCGTTAGGCCGTCGCTTTGCAACTTCTTGGAGATTGACTCCACATCGTGCAGCTCGTCGAAGAGCTTGCAAAGGCTGTGCGGTACGGTTTCGCGAAGGGATGAGGTCTTCGAGGTCCTCGTCATCCGGGGGTGAGGTGCTCGTACAGGCGGAAATAACGGGCGAGCATCTTGAACGTCGACGACCATCGCGTGTCTTGGCGAAGGACTGGCTGGAGAGCAGTTTTTTTGGCTGCAGAAATAGTAACGACATATTTAGTACTATCAAAAAAAGTAATACCAAAAATAGTACTCGTACCGGAGCTTGGCTGCTTGCTTAAGTGTACCAGCTTACGCATAAGCGCTTGGACTTCTGCCAGCGCGTCTTCATGGGGAGCGAGATACTCACGCACCGCGAGATTTAGACGGTGGCTTGCGCAGCCAACAAGTGGCACACCCATGAGGTTAGCCAGTCGTTTGTTGACTGCGCAATTGTCGTTAACTAAAAACCGCACATCGTCCAGGCTCCGTCCAAAAAATGGCAAAAACCGTGCGATAGCCGCTGCGTGGCCGTCTGCATTGAGCGCATCATCCGGCTCGTCAATTATCGGGGCCATAGACAGGAGCTGGAAGCGAGGGCCATCCGAGGACTCGTAGCATGCATACACAGCTAGGAAGTGCTCGGTGGCTTGGGTATAGCCGTCGATGACGAGGCCAAACGACTTGGGCATCCCCTCGCCGATGGATTTCTGGACGGCCTTCACGACGCTCTCCATGTCACCATAGAGCGTCTCGACGCAGATCGGCGGTAAGTTAGTAAACCTACATTTCATTCGCAGTTCGTAAGAACTGTGTATTATTGTCGCAACATGGCCCCTGTCACGGTCACGGTAACGGTCGCACCACATGACTTGTACACAAACTGCATTGCACTCTACCGGTAATTCATGCTCTCAATTGTATTATACTTCGAAGAAAGGCACCTCGACTACTGACTATAGTTGTTGATTGATAGTTGAATAACTACAGTTGTTGACTATCATACTACAGCCGTCGCAGAGCTCAATTGATTTCTATCAGCTCAAGACAACAAGCGGAAAATGGGTCCTAAGAAGAAACGCTTCCGACGCAGCCACGGCTCCGATGGCCGCTTTATTTCTTCCGGAAGCGCGGCCCAGCCAATTAAACGAGCCATGCGAGCAGAGACTTTGACATGAGAGGAGAAGCTGGCACTACTGCGCGAGTATTCGAATCGAAAAAGAGAAAAGAGCGGTCTTACAGAGAATTTCGCAAGAATCAAATGCGAATTCGCTACTATCGATCGCGTGGATACATTGAAGACGATGCTAATGATGAAGATACTGAACCGAAGACCGGCGAGATTACCGAACAGTACAGTGAGGAGCCAAGAACGACGATGACATCGAACAACGTCGGGAAGTGTGTAACGAGAACGTTGAAGAGAGCATTGAAGACGGTTGTGAAGGCGATTTGGAAGCCAAGAATTTTGAGCAGGAGGAAATTAAGGAGCAAACACCCACTGGAAGACTAGGGAACGTTGTGGCCTCCTACACTACGATACAACGGAACCTTCGCGTTGAGAAATTCCCGCTTTCGTATATTAAGTCGAGCTGGAACTTTGATGAAGACGACAAGCCTGCGTTGTGCTTGTTTGAAACGACAGATGGACGTGGATTTGGAGTAAAAACACTTGAAGAAATTCCTCGCCAGACCTTTGTGATCGAGTTTTTGGGCGAATTGATTGATGCAGACCAAAGAAACTTTAGGGGATACAAAGTATATCTTTGAGGTATTAGCAGGCGACAAGGACTAATGCTCCGCGATGTATATCTACCCAAACGATTTCGGAATGATCGAACAAAAATCGTAAACGCGAAGTTGCGCTATTCAACAATGTGCGTGTTGGCAAAATAAAATTATTAAAATTTGTCTATATCTTGGCACCATAGCGTGGGCATAGCAGTAACTTCGGACACGTTCGCGTGTCCTGCTACCCATGGCAGCAATGATGGCAAAAAATTATCATCCACTGGTGAGGGATGCGTCTTCCCCAACATGGTTTGTTGTGACGCATTCCATCCATACTGGAACATTTCGATTATTTTTCCAGTACGTACCTAGAGGTCCATCTATCGTTCGACGGGACGCCTGTGCGTCTGCAGTACCAGTACGATGTAAGTGTGAATGCCCTGAGCATGCGTCGCGCTAAGCAGACCGCCAATGACCGAAGAACGAATGCTGTCTTCGGTAGAATCAGGTTGGGCCGCTTTCGAAATATCGAACCATTGGGTACGGGGATGTTGAACTATCGTTTTAACTACAGCGTATAGTGATGGCTACAGTACTTGATAAAGTTAAGCATGGCATATCCATATTTTCTGATGGTAATTTCAAACAAGGTGAAATCTCGTCATTATGCAATTTAACTCATGACGGTAAAGCCTCTGGACAACTTAAAACCTGCTACGTGTACTTGAAAGTTCAAGACGGTGGCTCTTCCCAAATCCAGCTCTAACAACGGTGTCGCTTGGCCGACACTATCCCCGTATGAGCGTATAAGGCAGTTGCTGGTTTCCAGGACCGAAGAATCCAGAGTTATTGACACCGTGGACGGTACGTAAAACTTAGAACTTTATATATATATATTAGATTCGTAACATCAGTACTTGGTTCGTGCTGTCAAGTAGACTTGAAGATCCACCTGACTGGGGCAGACAACCACAAGCCTGTGCGGATTCGAATGCGGTTAATCTGGGTATCAGAACACGCATAAGCCGTAGAAATTTGTTCGGCTTCACTTAGTTGATCCTAGCGCCCAGGAAAGCCTCGAGGACATGCTACAGGAACGTTAATGCATTTCAAGTCAACTGAGTCATATAAGAGCTACTAAGAAAAGTCGGGTAGGTCTTCCGTGAGCCCTACGAAGCCAATTCTCAAGAGGTCGATTCGCTGTTACTGACTGCCACGGTGTGGAATGCGGAGATCGACTCAGAGCTTCTTCCTCCCCCGGGGCAAATTGTTTGCATCAACGGCTACACCAACCTCATTGCGTATAGAGGAGCAATTTGCCAGTTCACGACTCGATTGATCCAGCTAAGCTGGGAAGGTCAGGAGGATTAACCTCGACCCAATGATCCAGGTTCAATGGTCTTACTATGATTTTTATCATTTGAGGCTAGGATTATAGTTAAAATTAGGTAAATAGTACCGTTTTCTGAATGGGCACACAATTGCGACCTTCTAATTCCCTTCTTGCGCCATTTCGAAAGTGGAGCAGGGGAACGCAGGTAAGTTAACGACAAACCTGAAAGCGTACCAATGTGTTCGAGAAGAAAACGTAACATTATGCGATGCAGATGACAAAGCCGCAGGGCGCAAAAACATACCCCACCGGTGGGATGGAACTCTGGTTGGCTCTCACTACACAACATCTACCAAGCACCAAAACCGAATGGGAAGCTGTCGCTGCAGAGTACAATCGATCTAAAGCATCGCAATGGAGAACGCGAGATGCAACGAGCTTGAAGAGGAAATTTCGCAACATGTGTGCAGCCTCAAAACAGACCAGCACAGAGCTAGCTTCCGAAACCAGAGACGTGATGAGGATGATGAAGCAACAACGGCCCGTACATTCTCACCAAGTTCCAAGCCCTCGTTCAGGACGGCGAGCCGCGCATACGGTGTGTGTGGACGCACCAAAGCCGACTGAAGCGGATGACTGTCTCTCACCCTTTAGGCCTCATTACTGCGGCGAGCAAGGCGGTGGTCACTCAAACAAGCAGCATCGTGAGTTGTTTCAACAGCGCAAGTCAGATCGACGTGCGGCCCGACACCATCACAAAGAAATTTTGACAAACATTGCTTATCTAAAACTTTCCATGGAGAGTTTTTTTTGCTGGCAGAACCTCCTTGAGATAAACAAATAATACGCGAGGCACTCTTTGCTGAAGTTCCCGGATCACATCTCCCGCTTGCCCACATCGTTTACACAGTATAATCATCCTACCAATGCGAAGTCGTTGTGTCTAAACACATTCGTATCAAGTCTCCCTAGGGTCATGTCGCATTCTAGAAACTGATACAGTGGGACTGCAACCCACTTCGATGCTCCGCGGTTGAACATTCATTGGCTCAAACTTATAAAAATGATCCTTGGTATATTTTCACCAAAATGTCTGCAGCCTTTCACGACGCAGAATATCATTACCATAGCGCATAGTCTATCCTGCGTCCTTCTCAACCTACATAAACATTCGTCAGCAACGACTTTGCGCTCAAGCACCAGAAAACAAAAATCTATGGGATTAACTATTGTATTTTCTTACTAGCAACATCACTGAGACTAGTGCAATAGTTTATCACGGTTAAAAACATAATTTGAATTAGCAGAGCCCTTATCGTCATACCCACCTGAACAAAGAAACATAAGTAGCGGATCATGAGCCGACGATTCATACAAGTAATGCAAATATAGCTCACTCAGAAAAGATAATTTATATTTGTTTCTAAGTCTGAACGTTATCGACAGATTTTGACATGTATCTCAACTGTCATTTACCACATTCCGAAAATCATTTTCGATTTAGCCAAGGTGAAGTGGAGTAGCGGAATGGTGTGGGCTGAACTCATGGAAACGAATTCGGGACCTCGTCAACGGGCCTTTGATGCAGAACCCAAGGTGTGCGAAGAAATTGAAGCAAGAATCCAACAACTTCAGCTGTCAAGACGTGCAGGAACGCCAAGGTTGCAAAACGCTATGGAAGGATTTCGTCAGGCTCAAATTTTAACGCAGCAAGCTGACGACATCTGCGCTCAAGCTTATCGTGAGTTCTTAGCCGAGCAGCGGTTCCAACGGCATCACGAACAGAATGATCGTACCAACGCGTTGTGGCAGCAACTACAGGATCAAGTCCAAAGTACACCTGCGCCATCCAACACAACCTCGACATCGAATCGACCAAGTACACCTGAAGGTGTTGAAGTTATCACAATTGACAGTTCGGGAGACGAGAGATCGTGCGATGAAGGAGCAAAAGCGTAAAGTCACGGAGAAATCACAGTGATCATACATTTTTCCCCTTCGTAATCTTGTCATTTTTGAGGAAAACCAATCATACCATGTTGAATGCTAGTTAACGTGGGTTAAATAAATAATTAGTATTAGCTTCCGTAGGGTACCACTTTGAGAGCGTAGTCCAATGTTTCCTTTTTCTGATAGTCACCAAGCCATTTAGTGACACGTCCAGTGGTAGCTCGGACATTATGCTCTAAGCAAACCCACAAGTCTGAGTGGCCGTCCTGCAGTACTGGATGCTCTCCCGTACGTAGTTACCCTGGTAATACGAATTATCGGGGCCATAGACAGGAGCTGGAAGCGAGGGCCATCCGAGGACTCGTAGCATGCATACACAGCTAGGAAGTGCTCGGTGGCTTGGGTAT